TTTTTTTTATCATATTTTAATTAATAAAAGTTAAAAACTCTCCAAATATTTCAATTAACAATATTATACTATTATCTAATATTATTGATTATGCGAAAATTATGTGGAAAGTATAATATAAGTTTCAAAATGAAAAAACTATATGTAATAAATTATGCGATAATATATAAAATATATTATATTATTATAACAATTTGGATCGGGCTGTTATCGGATTGTATTGACCTATATCCATATTTGCTTCTTTTAGTTAACGGATTATCGGATTCGAATCTAGATCGAGTTATCGAACTGAAATTCTAAATCCATATCCTATTAATTTCATCAGATTTGGATCAAAATTCAATCCATTGACAACCCTAAACTTACTGTATAGTACAGGTTTGGAGATATTGGCATTTCCTTGTAATCAGTTTGGCTCTCAAGAACCTGGCACAAATGAAGAGATTCGAGAGTTTGTGTGCACCCGCTTTAAGGCTGAATATCCTGTATTTGACAAGGTAAGAATTACATAGGGAATGTTTTACAAAATTTCCGTAAATTAAGTACTTTGTATTTGACAAGGTAAGAATTACATAGGGAATGTTTTACAAAATTTCCGTAAATTAAGTACTTTTTGATGAAGTAATCTGAACCATGATGAACTGCTTTCATATCATTGTTCATTAGCGAGTATTAGCAGGACGGAGCCAGGATTTTATTCAAATGGGGGGACTAATTTAACTGATAATAAAAAATTTGTTGCAAGACCATAACACAAAGATATTAAAAATAAAAATGCTACAACATTTTCTTTAATGCGTACAGAACAGATGTTCACCATCATTTTCTTACAAAAATGTTTCTATCATGACCTTATTATCAATATGATGAATATTGTTCTGCAAATATACCCAACCAAACCATTATTCATTGGGCCATTGATTCATCATAGTGCTTGTAGAAGAAAATACTATCTCTATGATATAAGTAACAACAGCGTCAAAATTAAAAGCTTGTAAATTAATAACTTTTCCACACGAACAAACTCAATCAGCAAAACGAGTATAACTTTTCGAAATTAAAATAAAATTATACAATATATTAAAAAGTTCAAATAAGAAGACCAAAAAGAGGGTTGGCATTTGATAGAAGTTAAGAAAAGTTTCGAGGGGGTAAATTAAAAAGTCACGTATTGATAGTATGAGACTTGAGCGTTGGGGGTGAATCTGATTATAAGTAATCAAATGTTACTATGATGGAACTGTATTTTTCTAGGCACTGCGTGATTGGTGGGTGGGTGGGGTTATTTTCAAACCTAATTTATTTCCAACCTAACGTGGTTCGGCCACGAAGTATTACAGTGCTTGTGTTGAATATTAGAAAACAGTTTTCTGTCATTGTTTGCATTGTTAGGTCGCTCTCATGGTATGATTGAAGAAAAGGAGGTTAAAATTACTTTCGAGCATAGTCAGATACTGCATTTATGCATATACTTATGTATAACTGCTTAAGAATTTGATTGAGGCAATAGGTCTAGGTTTTTTTAACTGCTTTATATGCATAAATTAGTCGCTAGTAATTTGAACAATTTGTTTTAGAATATTAAGGTTTGGCATTTCTTTATTTTGCTTTTCCCATGAATCGATTTGAATACATGATTTTCTTTTGATTATTCAGGTTGATGTAAATGGTTCCAATGCTTCTCCAATATATAAATACCTGAAGTCGAGCAAAGGTGGGATTTTTGGGGACAGTATTAAGTGGAACTTCTCCAAGTTCCTTGTTGACAAAGATGGCCATGTTGTTGACCGCTATGCTCCCACCACATCTCCTCTTAGCATCGAGGTAAAGCGTTTATGCTTTGACGTGGCAATCTCAAGTCTATGTAACGGTTGTGTGTGTTTAACAATGTGGAGCCTAATTATACTTTTCAAAATTATTTCATCAAAACTTCAAAAAATAAAAATAATAAAATAAAAAATTATACTGGGTATATTGGACATGCTTATCTTTGTACTAGGTAGCCTAAATTTCCTGCCTGATAGGAAAGAATTAGAAATCGTTTCGCTTAGAGATAAAACCGAGAAAGTGCGAGGAAAAACCCTATAATCTTACGCTTCATTATATAGTGAAAAATCACATTGAGGGCGAAGCACTATAAATTTGTGTTTGCACGTGTGTCTGTTTTTCAGTGTGTTTACTATTTGTGGCTCAATCTGTAAACAGTAAACGTGTAATAAGACAGCTGAGTATGGTTCCTTTACTTGTTTGCAGAAGGATATAAAGAAGCTGCTGGAAAAGGTGAAGTAACGACTATGGTTGTCTTGTTCTGAACTTCATTTGCTAATAAACATCCTAATGAGGATTCTTGGGAGGGTTCTTTTTGAGTATTTACATATAGTTTGGAATGAAACTCCTTTAAAAGTTGTTCTTGGTGTACCTTTGCGAGAGTTTCTTGCGTTGATTAAGATCGGATTTGTGTATATCCTGCAATTCTCTTTCGATTAGTCTGGTTATTAATTAATTTTACTTGTAAGTAGTATAAATCCCATTATGATATGTCTTATTGATGACGAAGACATTTTCACTCGATCCTTAGATGTGCAAGTCAAGCTGGGAAACTCAACCGATTTGTTGTCCACTTCGGACATATCAATGGTGATAGTTTGGTTTAGGTTTCAATAGTTAAAAACGAATTGAATCCAAACTGAATTTTTTTCTTTTTAAATGAGGAAGATGGATCATAGCGTCTATTTTCACGTGAGAATTATTTTTTTAAACTTATACGAAAAATTTACTTGTTAAAGAGTGAATTGATTTTCGTGAAATCATTTCATTTAATTGTTTAAATAGTAAAAAAAGATAAACTGTGACCCAAAGCAGGACGAGCTGCAAAAAATTAATATTGAGTTGAAAAGTAATATAGTTTGATTTTATTTAGGATTTTTCCATTTTTGTTCTAAATGATATTTTTGTGCATAGATTAAAATCTGATATATTTGTTTCCTTTTTCTAATTTAAAGCATGTTTGGAAACATTTATGAACGGTTTAAATGGTTTATAAATAAAAATATAAAAAATGCTATTCGCAGCGAAAACTACCAGCAGTCATCCTATGTGGCGTACATTGACAGTTTTTCATTTGATGTATAATTTAAAAAATAACTACTATATCTATATATCAAATATCAAATTGTCAAGTGTACGTTATATAGGGCCACTACTTACAGTCTTTATTTCGAATAGCATTATTCATAAAAATAAGTGATGAAAATGTAGAGAAATATGTCTGGTGATAGGAAATGTAAATGAAAAATGATTCGAATGTCATGATGAAATTAAATTAGGCACGTTAATCTACTTTGATTGAGCTCATTTCGTAGGATCACCTACAGACTGTTGTTGCACCAAGAAAATACACGTGTAAACATATGATTGGTTAAATAGGCAACATCTTTAAAGTCTTTAACTTTGATTGAGCTCATTTCGTAGAATCACCTACACACTGTTGTTGCACCAAGAAAATACACGTGTAAACATATGATTGGTTAAATAGGCAACATCTTTAAAGTCTTTCTTTCTGCAGTTTCATTTCAAGAATTCGAATCAAACTTCCATTTACAAATCTGGGAAAACCCAATTTTTTCGCTCAACCCCTTCACTGATTATCTAAGAAGAGATCAGAATGGCGTCTGAATCAGAGAAAGACCCAGCATCAGTCTTTGACTTCACTGTTAAGGTGCGATGAGAGGATATAGATAGACAAAGAGAGAGTTAGTTTGGGAACGATATTTCTGCTATTTATGTTTCGATTCTATTTTTCGATTGTGGGTTTAATTTTAACTTTTGCTTGTTTGGTACAAGGATTAAAAAGAAGCACACACACACAAAGTTAAAATTATGTTCAATCATTTCTATTCTATTATCTTTATGTATTAACTACTGATGACATGCCGAATAAATGAAGTCCACTTTGTCTCAGCTTCTTCAAACCCCCAATTTTCAAAATTGTTGTCTATAATGCCTTACACTTCAGTTATATCTTGAGTCCCATTTTTGCTTGTTTTCCCCTTATTGGCACATTCAGCTAAATGGAAAACGAGTTCACAAAATATTAGTACCATAGCATTGGAAAATGGGCTCACTTAAGTGGTTATAAAATTGTACTGATTCGGGTTGATTGAACAAAAAAATGCCAAACCAACTGAAACTGTTGGTATGGGTTCACTTGGACATGTCAACATTTTGATTTGAACCGAAGGTTTGGATAGTTAAAAATCGAATGGAAGCGTAAAAATATTTTTTATGGTTGAACTTTACCTTGTTATCTTTTTTATTGTTGAATTTTGTATTATTTTCATTGCTTTAAGCTTATATTGGGACCAATATAATATAGGGGTAATTGCAGTCGAGACACCAAATCTTTTAAACACTTGTAGGCTTTTCTCAAACTTTTGATTTATTACAACCGTCACTCCTAATTTTGTCAAACATTGCAGGTGAGATCTCAAGGATGGAAAATATCTAATTTACCGTTATTTGACTGAAAAATTGAGTTTGACCATATTTTTAATATTTTATAAAGAGAAAAATAGTAACTTTCTATTTACCAAATTAAATAATTACATTTATTAAATTAAAAGATCGAAAAAAAGAAAAAAAAACTGTATCTTCTCCTTCCCTTTTCCCCAACTATCCCACCCCTATCCTAACCAAAATCGCCACCATCGCCGTTGCCCCCACAATCTCGCCCTTTACCTTTCACCCTCTAGTAACCAAACACCATGAATCACTATCTTTTTTCAGGTACATATTTCTCAAATCAAAAATTTTCCAAACCAATTATGCAAAGAGTCAGTAACAGCTCATCTGTATCCAAAAATAAAGGGCTGTTCGATAATGATTATGAGAATTAATTTTTTAACCGTTAGAGAGAAAAGTGAGTTTCACATATGAGTGAAGAAGTAAAAAATGATGGTTGATTTAGGGAAGTAACGGTCAAAAAATTGATTTTTGTGGGTGAAAAATCAGAAACAAATGGGGGCAAAGTCTTGTAAATAAATGATTGGGGTATGCCTAAAACTTCTACAACTCTTTCCCTATATCTCTCCCTCCATTTCTCTTTGGCCAAAGCAAAATTTTCACAACCCACAAGCAAAATGCTTTCGATACAACCATTTTTATGAAATAGATAATTTCAGTGATTCTAATTCCATTGGCCAAAAGGGGCCTAACACTGTTTTTATAGGCATTTTAAAGAAAATCACAAAGGAATAATAGAAGATGATGATGGCTATGGCGATTGGGTGGGGTGGCGATTGCAATGCAACGGCGTTGTGGTTGGTGGCTGATGGCACGGCCAGTTTTATAATCTCTGGTTTTGTAGTGGGTGATGGGAGAAGAGATACAAATTTCTCTTATTTTATTTTTTTCTTTTTTAATTTAATTAGGTAAATAGAACGTTACTATTTAATGTTAAAAACATGGTTGAACTCAATTTTTTGATCAATTAACCGTAGATTAGATGTTTTCCATCCATTGGGGGCCTCACCTGCAACGTTTGGAAATGTAAAGAGTAGCGATTGCAATAAATCAAAGATTTTGGAAAAGTATGCTAGTATTTGAAAGGTTTGGGGTCTCAGCTACAATTTTCCCTATAATATATTGTAGTTTAGAAAGTTTGAATTTTTGGTTGTGTTGAGATATAAACCAATATAATTATGTTTTAACTTGTTTAAAAGGCATTACTTTTACGCCCCTAGGTAAACTGTAGTTTGTAACCAAATTGAATTGCCAAAAATAGTTTGATCTGGTTTGAAAAGTGAAACGGTTTGATGTGGTTTGGAATTTTTCCAAAGCCTTAAAAATTGTTTGATTTAAAAATAGGTCAAAAGCCGTCCAAACCAAATGTTGTTAACCTCTTATTTGAACTTCATTTTGAATGAAAGAACCTTGGGTTTTTGAAGGTTCATGTTCTGAAAATTATTTGTGATTGGCAAAGCTAAGTAAGTCAAATTTACTGTTTAAGATAAATTTTGTTTTGAAACATTATTGTACAGGTTCGCTTTTCCATATAAGAAAAAGAAGAAAGGTTGCTTATCTAGCTAACAAAAACATATTTCATTTTGGAACTTAATTATTTACTTTCATATATAGCCCTTGTTTGAGCTCCATTAAAACCAAATTTTGGGGAAAAATGAATTTAGAATAGTGATTTTTTGAAGAATGTGTGGTAAAAAAAGAAGGAAAAGTTTTAAATTTATGTGGAATATTATTTTATTAGAAAATGTGTTGTTGAAAATGAGAAAAATGCATTTTGAATAAAATTGAGCCCATACAGCATAAACTTACTTATTAATAATTGTTTTACGCCTAGCCAAACCTGCGTAATGTATGATAACTAACTCCGGACGTGAATGCGCGCGCATATGATTGCATGCTCGGAATACGGATTTATCTGCACGCTTGGATGTTAATGAAGTCTTACATATAGTGCCGGCTATAAAAGTTGGATCACTACATGCTTATTTAATTGTTTGAAGATTTAATGTTCATCACTTGCAGGATGCTAACGGAAACAATGTGGATCTTAGCATGTATAAAGGAAAAATCCTACTGATTGTCAATGTTGCTTCTAAATGGTAAAATATGGTTTGTAAATCTTTCAGATTTTTTTCTCTACAAATTCGTTTGCTTCTTGTGCGATTCTGTGAAAAATTATGTGTTGCTTGGGAAATATGGGTGTCATCTAAAAATATGATGCTATCTTTTCGTACAAGTTTTATTCCTTAAATCATACTTGTCTGTCATTGACCTTTTCTTTTGTCTTTCATGTTCTTGTTAATCACGACAGTGGGATGACCAACTCAAATTACACCGAGCTAAATCAACTATATGAAAAGTACAAAGATCAAGGTATGCGTTTCAGACACAAACAGCGATACAGGATTTTCAGGCACATTTATAACTATTGACATATAATATGACAGACTGTAAACAGCCATCCCCTGTTTTTTCACAGTTCATTTGTGAAGCACGTTTGGCTAATCTTAAAAAGTTTACTTATTAGTGAATAAATAAGTTTGGCTTTTAAATTTTAAGCTTAGCAAAACATGTTCTAAGTTCTCTTGAGTGCTCGAATAACTTTTTCCCTTTTTTTCTAATTGTCCAAGAGCTTTTTTTTTTTGGGTAAAAAATCAATTTTTTTATGAGAAAATATTTTTTTCCACGTAATAGTTCGATTTGAAATTTTGTAGCCCGATCTTGGATCCAATTCTGGATCCGTCCCTTATTATTGTCAAGTATTAATTGAATGAAAAATCTATTTGAAATTTAAAATATTAATATTACGTGGCAAAATATAAATTAATGCATATAACAAGATTCTATGCTTTTCTCCAAAAAAGTGCATTCACAACGAAATGATCTGGACTGTTGAAATCCTACGAAATTTTCAAGACTGGATTGGACAATGGTACTCCCACGCGGCATAGCATCTTTTCGTCACGTGTAACTTATCGTCTTCGCATTCACGATTCATCCGTAAAAGCGAACCCAGCTAACTTTACTGCTTATTTCTTCGATTTTTGTAAGCCAATTGAAACGAGGTCTATATTTTCTTGCGTTTCCTCTCTTATTAATTCAACGAAGAGTTTATTGTGGGATTTGATATCATAATACACAATGGCAAGCCAACCCCAGTCCGTGCACGAATTCACTGTCAAGGTTTTAATTTTTCTTTTTTATTGTTAATCGTTTAGATAAAGATCATATATGTTTTTACATTTGCGAATATGTAGATTTGTTAAAGTGAGCTCTTGATGTTTAGGTAGGAGATCGAGTACAAGCTCTCGTATTTTCACAAATTTAATTGTCAATCTTGTAGGTACAGATATTTGCTTATATGAAGATTTGTTTGTGCTCGTACATTTCACAAGCTTTATTTGCCTGTATAGAATCTTTATATACTCTAATATCTTATTAAATATCATCGTTTGAGATTTTAGGACATTGGATTGATATTTGGCAATCTTTTGTTGAATGGTTTAATTCATTTCTTGATTTTCTTTGCATAGAATTTTATTTGGTTTGTGGTGAAATTCTTGTTTTCCAAGGATGAATGATGCTTTTTAAAGGGTGAAAGCAGGTAATTCACCATAGTAACCTTGGCTTCAAGGGGACAAAAACAAACAAGTGCTTCAAGAGAAACATAAACGGAATAGTTTTATGTTATGTTTGGTAGAGATGATTGCATAGTACCTGGCAATATTAAGTAAGAAAAATAAGTTAAAATCGTGTTCATTGTACTATCTGGTTCTTTCAACTACACGAGTTATGATATATGCATGTCTGTTTAGAGTTACAAGGGCTCTTATTATATTGAGGCGCACATGATAAGATAAGATACCAACCCCATGTCGGATTTTATATGCCCACATGACGAATATTTAAAAACTCCATTATCTCAGGATGCTAAAGGGGACAATGTTGATCTCAGCATTTACAAGGGAAAGGTTCTGCTGATTGTCAATGTTGCATCAATGTGGTATATAGTGGCTTCTTCTGAGTACTTTGTTTCCTTCTGCTTTGAAGAATCATAGAATGTTAAGCACCAAATAATAAAATGAAGATTCTGGTATTTGGTTGGTGTTCTGACTATTGTATGTTGCCGGGTAAAAAAAATAGTACAAAGCCCTCTCTTATGTGTGTAAATATGAGTCATCTTTGCTAATAATGGGTGTATACATGCTTTTGAGTTTATACTATATTATGGGTCATCAAATCTTGGACATATTTTGGAATATGTATTATTAGTCATTAGTTCGGATATGAATTTTGTTTTAAAACAAAATAACCTCATTATTCAGTCTAGTGATTTTCAGGAAAAATAAGATGTTTCTCAATTGACACCTGCATTCTATCACTATCTGGCGAGACTGTTTAATTTTTTTTGCCATCATAACAAAAGTTTGTCAATATATATTTATATGTTGCACCTTCTCCACATTAATCATTTTCTGAAGTGAGTATACATATGTGTTTCCTTTGTAATGAAATCTAAGACAATCCATATGGAGTATGTCGCTAATTATCGGTATCCTTGGTGGATAATTTCTTCTCCTGTGACTTCCGAAGTCAGAGAATCAGTTGAAATGTGTATTAGTATCAATAACCTGCTACAATTTTTTATTTTTTTAAAAATAAAGAATACCTATCTATTTTATATCCTGTCTTCTGCAGTGGTCTCGCCAATTCAAATTACACCGAGTTGTCCGAAATATATCAGAAGCACAAGGATCAAGGTATTGTAAAGCAACCATTTATTGAATATGACAATACATGTACCCATTGACAGCGATCAATTTCCATATGGTTCTAGGCTTCTTTATAATTTTCATGTAACTACCCTGCTTCTATTCTTCAATTTTCCTATATTTACGGTTCTCTACTTTGACAGGGTATAACTCCTGGAATTAACTTCTTAAGGCCAACAAATCCTGCTTCATATCCGATTTGTTATGTTATTGGATATCCGATCTTATAGTCCGATTTGAAATTGAAGAAATTAAGAAGATAAAAATTTTATATTAGTCAATTTCTAAGCCCTAGAATTAAAAGGTCCATATAGTTTTTTACCCAATTCTTGGCCCACCTATTACAAATTGCAAATCCTGTGATATTCTAGTGAGTATTAGACGTGGGAAGTTGAAAACAATGAAAGTAACTCCAACTATTGGCCCCTTTGGTTGTTTAATTTATAAAATAATTAATTTTTTTTATCATATTTTAATTAATAAAAGTTAAAAACTCTCCAAATATTTCAATTAACAATATTATACTATTATCTAATATTATTGATTATGCGAAAATTATGTGGAAAGTATAATATAAGTTTCAAAATGAAAAAACTATATGTAATAAATTATGCGATAATATATAAAATATATTATATTATTATAACAATTTGGATCGGGCTGTTATCGGATTGTATTGACCTATATCCATATTTGCTTCTTTTAGTTAACGGATTATCGGATTCGAATCTAGATCGAGTTATCGAACTGAAATTCTAAATCCATATCCTATTAATTTCATCAGATTTGGATCAAAATTCAATCCATTGACAACCCTAAACTTACTGTATAGTACAGGTTTGGAGATATTGGCATTTCCTTGTAATCAGTTTGGCTCTCAAGAACCTGGCACAAATGAAGAGATTCGAGAGTTTGTGTGCACCCGCTTTAAGGCTGAATATCCTGTATTTGACAAGGTAAGAATTACATAGGGAATGTTTTACAAAATTTCCGTAAATTAAGTACTTTGTATTTGACAAGGTAAGAATTACATAGGGAATGTTTTACAAAATTTCCGTAAATTAAGTACTTTGTATTTGACAAGGTAAGAATTACATAGGGAATGTTTTACAAAATTTCCGTAAATTAAGTACTTTGTATTTGACAAGGTAAGAATTACATAGGGAATGTTTTACAAAATTTCCGTAAATTAAGTACTTTTTGATGAAGTAATCTGAACCATGATGAACTGCTTTCATATCATTGTTCATTAGCGAGTATTAGCAGGACGGAGCCAGGATTTTATTCAAATGGGGGGACTAATTTAACTGATAATAAAAAATTTGTTGCAAGACCATAACACAAAGATATTAAAAATAAAAATGCTACAACATTTTCTTTAATGCGTACAGAACAGATGTTCACCATCATTTTCTTACAAAAATGTTTCTATCATGACCTTATTATCAATATGATGAATATTGTTCTGCAAATATACCCAACCAAACCATTATTCATTGGGCCATTGATTCATCATAGTGCTTGTAGAAGAAAATACTATCTCTATGATATAAGTAACAACAGCGTCAAAATTAAAAGCTTGTAAATTAATAACTTTTCCACACGAACAAACTCAATCAGCAAAACGAGTATAACTTTTCGAAATTAAAATAAAATTATACAATATATTAAAAAGTTCAAATAAGAAGACCAAAAAGAGGGTTGGCATTTGATAGAAGTTAAGAAAAGTTTCGAGGGGGTAAATTAAAAAGTCACGTATTGATAGTATGAGACTTGAGCGTTGGGGGTGAATCTGATTATAAGTAATCAAATGTTACTATGATGGAACTGTATTTTTCTAGGCACTGCGTGATTGGTGGGTGGGTGGGGTTATTTTCAAACCTAATTTATTTCCAACCTAACGTGGTTCGGCCACGAAGTATTACAGTGCTTGTGTTGATTATTAGAAAACAGTTTTCTGTCATTGTTTGCATTGTTAGGTCGCTCTCATGGTATGATTGAAGAAAAGGAGGTTAAAATTACTTTCGAGCATAGTCAGATACTGCATTTATGCATATACTTATGTATAACTGCTTAAGAATTTGATTGAGGCAATAGGTCTAGGTTTTTTTAACTGCTTTATATGCATAAATTAGTCGCTAGTAATTTGAACAATTTGTTTTAGAATATTAAGGTTTGGCATTTCTTTATTTTGCTTTTCCCATGAATCGATTTGAATACATGATTTTCTTTTGATTATTCAGGTTGATGTAAATGGTTCCAATGCTTCTCCAATATATAAATACCTGAAGTCGAGCAAAGGTGGGATTTTTGGGGACAGTATTAAGTGGAACTTCTCCAAGTTCCTTGTTGACAAAGATGGCCATGTTGTTGACCGCTATGCTCCCACCACATCTCCTCTTAGCATCGAGGTAAAGCGTTTATGCTTTGACGTGGCAATCTCAAGTCTATGTAACGGTTGTGTGTGTTTAACAATGTGGAGCCTAATTATACTTTTCAAAATTATTTCATCAAAACTTCAAAAAATAAAAATAATAAAATAAAAAATTATACTGGGTATATTGGACATGCTTATCTTTGTACTAGGTAGCCTAAATTTCCTGCCTGATAGGAAAGAATTAGAAATCGTTTCGCTTAGAGATAAAACAGAGAAAGTGCGAGGAAAAACCCTATAATCTCACGCTTCATTATATAGTGAAAAATCACATTGAGGGCGAAGCACTATAAATTTGTGTTTGCACGTGTGTCTGTTTTTCAGTGTGTTTACTATTTATGGCTCAATCTGTAAACAGTAAACGTGTAATAAGACAACTGAGTATGGTTCCTTTACTTGTTTGCAGAAGGATATAAAGAAGCTGCTGGAAAAGGTGAAGTAACGACTATGGTTGTCTTGTTCTGAACTTCATTTGCTAATAAACATCCTAATGAGGATTCTTGGGAGGGTTCTGTTTGAGTATTTACATATAGTTTGGAATGAAACCTTTAAAAGTTGTTCTTGGTGTACTTTTGCGAGAGTTTCTTGCGTTGTTTAAGATCGGATTTGCGTATATCCTGCAATTCTCTTTCGATTAGTCTGGTTATTAATTAATTTTACTTGTAAGTAGTATAAATCCCATTATGATATGTCTTATTGATGACGAAGACATTTTCACTCGATCCTTAGATGTGCAAGGCAAGCTGGGGAACTCAACCGATTTGTTGTCCACTTCGGACATATCAATAGTGATAGTTTGGCTTAGGTTTCAATAGTTAAAAACGAATTGAATCCAAACTGAATTTTTTCTTTTTAAATGAGGAAGATGGATCATAGCATCTATTTTCATGTGAGAATTTATTTTTTTCAACTTATACGAAAAATTTACTTGTTAAAGAGTGAATCGATTTTTGTGAAATCATTTCATTTAATTCTTTAAATAGTAAAAAAAGATAAACTGTGACCCAAAGCAGGACGAGCTGCAAAAAATTAATATTGAGTTGAAAAGTAAAATAGTTTGATTTTATTTAGGATTTTTCCATTTTTGTTCTAAATGATATTTTTGTGCATAGATTGAAATCTGATATATTTGTTTCCTTTATCTAATTTAAAGCATGTTTGGGAACATTTATGAACGTTTTAAATGGTTTATAAATAAAAATAAGTGCTGAATATGTAGGGAAATATGTCTGGTGATAGGAAATGTAAATGAAAAATGATTCGAATGTCATGATGAAATTAAATTAGGCACGTTAATCTACTTTGATTGAGCTCATTTCATAGGATCACCCACAGACTGTTGTTGCACCAAGAAAATACACGTGTAAACATATGATTGGTTAAATAGGCAACATCTTTAAAGTCTTTCTTTCTGCAGTTTCATTTCAAGAATTCGAATCAAACTTCCATTTACAAATCTGGGAAAACCCCATTTTTTTCGCTTAACCCCTTCGCTGATTATCTAAGAAGAAATCAGAATGGCGTCTGAAGCAGAGAAAGACCCAGCATCAGTCTTTGACTTCACTGTTAAGGTGCGATGAGAGAATATAGATAGAGAGAGTTTGTTTGGGAACGATATTTCTGCTATTTATGTTTCGATTCTATTTATCGATTGTGGGTTTAATTTTAACTTTTGCTTGTTTGGTACAAGGATTAAAAAGAAGCACACACACACAAAGTTAAAATTGTGTTCAATCATTTCTATTCTATTATCTTTATGTATTAACTACTGATGACATGCCGAATAAATGAAGTCCACTTTGTCTCAGCTTCTTCAAACCCCCAATTTTCAAAATTGTTGTCTATAATGCCTTACACTTCAGTTATATCTTGAGTCCCATTTTTGCTTGTTTTCCCCTTATTGGCACATTCAGCTAAATGGAAAACGAGTTCACAAAATATTAGTACCATAGCATTGGAAAATGGGCTCACTTAAGTGGTTATAAAATTGTACTGATTCGGGTTGATTGAACAAAAAAATGCCAAACCAAACTGAAACTGTTGGTATGGGTTCACTTGGACATGTCAACATTTTGATTTGAACCGAAGGTTTGGATAGTTAAAAATCGAATGGAAGCGTAAAAATATTTTTTATGGTTGAACTTTACCTTGTTATCTTTTTTATTGTTGAATTTTGTATTATTTTCATTGCTTTAAGCTTATATTGGGACCAATATAATATAGGGGTAATTGCAGTCGAGACACCAAATCTTTTAAACACTTGTAGGCTTTTCTCAAACTTTTGATTTATTACAACCGTCACTCCTAATTTTGTCAAACATTGCAGGTGAGATCTCAAGGATGGAAAATATCTAATTTACCGTTATTTGACTGAAAAATTGAGTTTGACCATATTTTTAATATTTTATAAAGAGAAAAATAGTAACTTTCTATTTACCAAATTAAATAATTACATTTATTAAATTAAAAGATCGAAAAAAAGAAAAAAAAACTGTATCTTCTCCTTCCCTTTTCCCCAACTATCCCACCCCTATCCTAACCAAAATCGCCACCATCGCCGTTGCCCCCACAATCTCGCCCTTTACCTTTCACCCTCTAGTAACCAAACACCATGAATCACTATCTTTTTTCAGGTACATATTTCTCAAATCAAAAATTTTCCAAACCAATTATGCAAAGAGTCAGTAACAGCTCATCTGTATCCAAAAATAAAGGGCTGTTCGATAATGATTATGAGAATTAATTTTTTAACCGTTAGAGAGAAAAGTGAGTTTCACATATGAGTGAAGAAGTAAAAAATGATGGTTGATTTAGGGAAGTAACGGTCAAAAAATTGATTTTTGTGGGTGAAAAATCAGAAACAAATGGGGGCAAAGTCTTGTAAATAAATGATTGGGGTATGCCTAAAACTTCTACAACTCTTTCCCTATATCTCTCCCTCCATTTCTCTTTGGCCAAAGCAAAATTTTCACAACCCACAAGCAAAATGCTTTCGAGACAACCATTTTTATGAAATAGATAATTTCAGTGATTCTAATTCCATTGGCCAAAAGGGGCCTAACACTATTTTTATAGGCATTTTAAAGAAAATCACAAAGGAATAATAGAAGATGATGATGGCTATGGCGATTGGGTGGGGTGGCGATTGCAATGCAACGGCGTTGTGGTTGGTGGCTGATGGCACGGCCAGTTTTATAATCTCTGGTTTTGTAGTGGGTGATGGGAGAAGAGATACAAATTTCTCTTATTTTATTTTTTTCTTTTTTAATTTAATTAGGTAAATAGAACGTTACTATTTAATGTTAAAAACATGGTTGAACTCAATTTTTTGATCAATTAACCGTAGATTAGATGTTTTCCATCCATTGGGGGCCTCACCTGCAACGTTTGGAAATGTAAAGAGTAGCGATTGCAATAAATCAAAGATTTTGGAAAAGTATGCTAGTATTTGAAAGGTTTGGGGTCTCAGCTACAATTTTCCCTATAATATATTGTAGTTTAGAAAGTTTGAATTTTTGGTTGTGTTGAGATATAAACCAATATAATTATGTTTTAACTTGTTTAAAAGGCATTACTTTTACGCCCCTAGGTAAACTGTAGTTTGTAACCAAATTGAATTGCCAAAAATAGTTTGATCTGGTTTGAAAAGTGAAACGGTTTGATGTGGTTTGGAATTTTTCCAAAGCCTTAAAAATTGTTTGATTTAAAAATAGGTCAAAAGCCGTCCAAACCAAATGTTGTTAACCTCTTATTTGAACTTCATTTTGAATGAAAGAACCTTGGGTTTTTGAAGGTTCATGTTCTGAAAATTATTTGTGATTGGCAAAGCTAAGTAAGTCAAATTTACTGTTTAAGATAAATTTTGTTTTGAAACATTATTGTACAGGTTCGCTTTTCCATATAAGAAAAAGAAGAAAGGTTGCTTATCTAGCTAACAAAAACATATTTCATTTTGGAACTTAATTATTTACTTTCATATATAGCCCTTGTTTGAGCTCCATTAAAACCAAATTTTGGGGAAAAATGAATTTAGAATAGTGATTTTTTGAAGAATGTGTGGTAAAAAAAGAAGGAAAAGTTTTAAATTTACGTGGAATATTATTTTATGTTACATATAAGAAAAAGAAGAAAGGTTGCTTATCTAGCTAACAAAAACATATTTCATTTTGGAACTTAATTATTTACTTTCATAAATAGCCCTTGTTTGAGCTCCATTAAAACCAAATTTTGGGGAAAAATGAATTTAGAATAGTGATTTTTTGAAGAATGTGTGGTAAAAAAAGAAGGAAAAGTTTTAAATTTATGTGGAATATTATTTTATTAGAAAATGTGTTGTTGAAAATGAGAAAAATGCATTTTGAATAAAATTGAGCCCATACAGCATAAACTTACTTATTAATAATTGTTTTACGCCTAGCCAAACCTGCGTAATGTATGATAACTAACTCCGGACGTGAATGCGCGCGCATATGATTGCATGCTCGGAATACGGATTTATCTGCACGCTTGGATGTTAATGAAGTCTTACATATAGTGCCGGCTATAAAAGTTGGATCACTACATGCTTATTTAATTGTTTGAAGATTTAATGTTCATCACTTGCAGGATGCTAACGGAAACAATGTGGATCTTAGCATGTATAAAGGAAAAATCCTACTGATTGTCAATGTTGCTTCTAAATGGTAAAATATGGTTTGTAAATCTTTCAGATTTTTTTCTCTACAAATTCGTTTGCTTCTTGTGCGATTCTGTGAAAAATTATGTGTTGCTTGGGAAATATGGGTGTCATCTAAAAATATGATGCTATCTTTTCGTACAAGTTTTATTCCTTAAATCATACTTGTCTGTCATTGACCTTTTCTTTTGTCTTTCATGTTCTTGTTAATCACGACAGTGGGATGACCAACTCAAATTACACCGAGCTAAATCAACTATATGAAAAGTACAAAGATCAAGGTATGCGTTTCAGACACAAACAGCGATACAGGATTTTCAGGCACATTTATAACTATTGACATATAATATGACAGACTGTAAACAGCCATCCCCTGTTTTTTCACAGTTCATTTGTGAAGCACGTTTGGCTAATCTTAAAAAGTTTACTTATTAGTGAATAAATAAGTTTGGCTTTTAAATTTTAAGCTTAGCAAAACATGTTCTAAGTTCTCTTGAGTGCTCGAATAACTTTTTCCCTTTTTTTCTAATTGTCTAGTGTCTACATTTTAGTGATATCAGATTTGGCATTCTGGTGCAATGCCTGAAATATTTATCAGATGTAGAAGTATCAACTGGGAGTAATTTCTTTTGCAAATAATGCATTTTCTATTTTTTTTTTCCTTTGTTAAACGACAATGTTGAAGACAACTCTCATTTTAACTCAGGGCTGGAGATCCTGGCATTTCCGTGCAATCAGTTTGGTGAAGAAGAACCAGGAAGCAATGAACAGATTGTAGACTTTGTCTGCAGCCGATTTAAGTCCGAATTTCCCGTCTTCGGTAAGGTAAATCCAAATATAACCATGAATTAATTTACTGAACCTCAATACACAAGTTGGTTTTTAGCTGCTGCTTTACATCATCTCCATATTAAGCTTTAGATCAAAGAGAATAATGTTAATAATATGTTAGTAAGTGTTACCCAAGTTCTTTAGGTATGTTGTGTTCTTGAGACTCAGACAATGCCTTTTTCCCCCTTCTCATTGAGGCCAAGGTTAAATATCTTCCTTTTCCCCTTGGTTTTGTATATGCCTAATGAAGGTTCAACAAAGGAACTTACATCCAATTTCTGAATCCCTCTCGTTTCTTTCTCTTTTCGTTTTGAAGAAAAAACCAACAGATTTGTTGAGATTCAACAAGAATTCATGGATGTTTTCACCCCAATACGAAGTTATTACACTAGCCAGCCCACTTCACCTGTACTTGAGAATTTTCAAGTTGGCAACAGAATTCATTTGATTGGATTGTGGCTTTAGAAACAAAGAACTAATCCGAACATCCCTGCTCTTTTACATCCATCTGCATGTTTTCCCCTTCTCCTTTAGTCATATCTGATTCCACTAGAACTCAAACAGTCACTTGAAATAACTGAAACTGTCTAAAATTGAAGCACTTGTTTTAAAAAAAAGTTATATTAATTACTTGGATTATCAAACCAAGACATGGGTTGTGAGAGAGTGGGATTCAGAGCTACCAACTTCACATTAATTCTGAAGATAACGAAACCTTGCTGCTCTTTGGTTGAAGCTTGCTAAAAGCTGAAGGACTATTCTACTATTTAAAGGCTCTCAGCAAAATATAAGCACGCAATCTAATAGGATATATTGTATTAGTATGGCATTTTCTTGATTATGCTTCACTGGCTGTCCTGTATTAGATTGAAGTGAATGGGGATAATGCTGCTCCACTTTACAAGTTCTTGAAGCTGGGAAAGTGGGGAATTTTTGGAGACGAAATTCAATGGAACTTTGCTAAGTTCTTGGTCGATAAGAATGGGCAGGCTGTTGATCGTTATTATCCCACCACGTCATCTCTCACCATTGAGGTATAAGACACTTAAAAATCTAATGATTATATTTGCTTTTTCATCTTTTTAATATGTCCTCTCACTTCGATCAGACATTTTCAGAATTTGTTAATATTACAGAGTCAAATGATTCTTCCAATCCTCGTGCATTATATATAGTTAGTTATATATCTATCCCTTGTGATCTTATTGCAGAGAGATGTGAGGAAGCTTTTGGCGCTGTCTTGAATGCTATGATATTAAGGAATCAGGGACGGTGTTGAAACCGTGGAACAGCTGATTCTATCCCCTTTCTCCCATTTGCTTTTCTTTCAAGAAATCGCGGATAGACAGTGTAGATTTAAATTCCGGACTGGAAAATTTAGTTCCGTGACTGGCCAAGAAAGCCATTGTAAGTTTGCAGCAGTAAGATTTTTAAGTTTGAGATTTTGCTTCAAGCTAATATTAAGCCCGCTTTTAGTTTTGTTAATAATCGTATTTTGATAAAAATTGATAAAATATGTGACTAAAAAATTGATAAAAGTTGTAGATTCCATAAAATGTGTGGTTAAAAACGAGTTTGGAGAAAAGAAGTTTTAAAAATAGGAGTCCGACATGAGCTAAATGTAACGTGGAGTTCTAATAATCTAATTGAGATTCAGAGAGATCCCACAAGTTTACTAGGAGTCGGATCAATTTCCGACGAATATAATCCTCTACGGTTGCTACTCAAGAACCTAGTAATGGAGTTTTGTTACAAAATTGTTAGCAGTTCACAATGGGATGATGCTCAGGCGCCTTCCATTTACAACTACACGTATATGCAAAAATTTCCATGCGTTGCCCCCACGAGCATGGCCCAATGGTAAAACAGGAGGGTTCTATATAGAGTATCGGAGGTTCGAATTTTCGCGACAGTTGGAAGGCAACATTTATGTCGGAAGACAGTTGTCGTGTGGAGGCAAAGTTATGATGCGCTTTGTCGTCCCATCGAGGTCTTGTCCACACGTCGTAAAGGGAGAAGAATCGCATCCTGAATATCCGACCTAAGTGTATATACGCTGTCTCCGCGTCTGAATTTACCTGGGTGGCGAACTAAGGGAGAAGGTCGCCACTCCTTAGATTAGTCAGGCGAAACTTAGACACTCGAGTTATCCGAAAAAAAAAATTGGGAAAGAGTTTGAACAGGAGCAGTGCTAATTTGGTATCAACAACTCAGCAGACTGGCCAGCAGTATTGTTTTCATCTTCGAAGTTCGACTCTGTTCTATTTTTTGCCTTAGAACCACCATACACAAAACTGAATACAACAATCTGTAGAGACATTCAATTTGCACCAATTTAAAATAATAGTCTAGAATTAACACTTCCAGTAGCAGCATTAATGAAAAATGAGTAGGTTAGCTTCACCAGTATGCATTCATCCAGATGCTTTAAACACTGTCCCTGCTTCCGTCCCCCCAAGAAAACATGGACACGGAACAAAGACAAGACATGGATATGCATGCTTTATTTTTCAGAGGACTAGGCAAAATACTTTAAAACTATGAATTTTTACATTCAGAGCTCTAAATTACTTTGTTAGATTTTTCTAGTGGATGAGACTAATAGAAACATGATTCCTAAGAATAATCGGATTTCCAAGCAGAAGATGCTATTTGTTTGACACAAAATAAAAAGGATTATGGCAAACCAGTTGCTGAAGTTGCTACTTTTGAAGTCACCGAAAGAAAGCAATGACTGGTTGAGAAACAACGTCAATGAAGGCCTGTAGGTGCACTATTATATGGTGGGGATTGTGAATTTCCATAAATTTTGCATTACTCACTCAATGATGGAACTTCGCTTATTTCACAAAAATGGTTAACAACAAGAGGCAATAATTGATGAAACATGCATATACGCGGATATGGCAGCAAGATACAAAGTGATGAACCTGATGAACTATACAACCAAACATGCAATATGACCAAGAATATGCGCTGCATAAATAGGATTTCTAACTCTACAAAAGAGAAAAGGTAAAGTAAGCAAATCTATACCTGCACTTGGGTTGCTGCAATGAGCCTTCCTCCTATTGCACAACCAATGATATGCCCATCAGGACTGCAGAAGGAGATACTGATACCCCCAGTCCGATTGAGTGGATCACCACTTTCAGCGAGCAAGTAAGAACCAGTTAAGTTTAGAATCTCAAAACGGCCCTGAGGAAAGTAACGAGCCACATAAATTTCCTTCTGGCAGAGGTAAAATAATGTGTTTGAACAAGAATGCCTAGCACAATTGCCAAAATGTGCACGAAGAACTACTGATATCAGACTTCTAAAGAATGTAAAATAAAATATTAAACTCTGTCAATGCATGGGAGAACGTTCAATTGATAACCGTGACAACACCTCAGTGCACCAAGATTTCTTACAAAATCCTAAAAAGCAAGTCACTATGTTCTGCAACCATGCAACCATCCATCTTGTTTACAATTTTTATCTGTTTGCTTGAAATTTTATACACAATTGTTCATCATATAGTCTGCGTCTCGTGCGTTACACGAATTTTGTATTTATTTTGGTTTTATTAGCGTAGAATTTATAGATTGTACAAAAAGTATTTGGAAATAAGAAATATTTGTTTGATTCTCATCTTTTGGTCAACTGTATATTTTATGTCACGATAATTTATTTTTATTCTTATAAATAAGTATAATGAATGTTGTGATTGTATATATGTCAAAAATAATTTATTTTTAATTATTTTTTGTATTTTTTGTTTAATGTAGATGAAGATTTTTTTTATCTGATATTGCAAATAAGTTGTAAATTGAATTTCGCAAAATGTTTTTCTTTAGCAACTTCGATTCGAGATGCTATACTTGTAATTCAAAAATAATCTATGCAGTTGTAAATTGAAAGAAAATATCCACATACACAAATATTTAAATAACAAACTCAGGTTTGCACGTAAAATAACTTGAAGTGGCACTTACTGGATGACCAACTCCCTTATTGGTGTAAGAATTAGAACCCTAACAGCAAGCATATTCTTTGAACGATACAACAGTTACTCCAAGGTTAGTAGGGCAAAAGAATTTTAAAAAAAATTTAAACAAATTTTATTTGAAAAAGAAAAGAATTAAAAAGAAATATAAATAAATCGATAAAAAAACCAATTATTTATAAAGTAAATTTTTCAATTTTAATTAAATAATATTTATATATTCTTCATTTTATTTTCATCACTTTATTTTATTTTTTACTTCTAAATAATTTTAAACAAAATTTTTTTTACTTATATAAGTAATTTTTACATATATTAGAAATATTTTTTGTTAATATGTTTATTTTTACATTTTTTTTGACTAAAAGTGATTTTTTTTTATTACTTATAAAAGTGGTCAGCACGGAGTAAGACGGGAGGTATGGAAAGTTTCGTTTTACATAGATTCACATTATCTCTCTTACACTATATATATAATATAATAATATAAGCAAATGAGTTAATTTGAAAAAACGTGCCATAGCTTATGAAAATGGAGAACGGAAAAGTACAATTTTTTTTTTGAATAATCCTCTGTGCGCGAAAACCACACTATATATAATTTTTTTAACTTACAAATAACTTTTTCGTTAAAATTGAAAAATTAAGTTTTATTTGGAAGATAAAAGAATTAAAAAGAAAAAAATAATTGATTTATTTTTAAGAAAAAAACGAATTTTTAATCTTCGTTTAACTATTTTCGATATTTATTTAGATCATCTGATATCTCTACGATATAGTTCTCAAAATGAGTTTCGAGAAAATGTAAAACATTTATCGATTCGACTATCGTACAATGGTCGACGATTTTTTAAAGTTAGCTTGTTATCAAAAATTTCGAAATATAGTGTGAAAATGCTTACTTTGACGTCCCATAACATTTTCTATGATTGACCGTTTCACGCACCGTTAATGTCGTGCAATACTATGTCGCGAGTACTTCAAAAGATATTAAGAATGTAATATTTCGATTTCGTTTGATATCCCGTAATGAGCGTAAAATGAATACAAAAACATAAATTAAAAAAAAAATTTCATTTCTCTCATGTGCAAGGAGACCTCACGTCTCCGTGCACGGACCTCTTATTTTTTTTTCTTTTTTTTTATTCTTTTTTAAATAAAAGCCAATACTTCTTTATAATATATATAT